CTCTTAAATATTGAGTTTTTTTGATTAGCCACTCGGCTTAAGCCGAAACTAGCTGTGGCTAATGAGAAGAGAAGTGAGCCGACGAGGACTTCTTAAGACTTACCCAAATTTCATTGTCTACAGAAAGATCCCAGATAATGAGAGTCCTACATAATGAGATAAATTTATCAACGATCCCTAAGTTAACTCAATTTGAATTTCATCAAATTTCATTTTGATTTCTGCAATTATCAATTGACTTAATTCAGTTTTCTTTCGTGCAATATTAATCTAAAAACTCCCAAAATCCTCTTAAATTAAAATTTACGATTAGATTCGATCTATTAAGGAAGATTGAAAATCATATAATTAGCTGCACGATGGATAGTGAAAATAAGCTATTTCTAGCGAGGTGCAGTTTCTCAATGGTGACTGTATTCCACAGTAGTCTCATTATCTGGGATCTTTCTGTACTAATCAAAACAAACAGTAATACAATTTAACAAACAAATGTAACATAATGAACTATTAGCAAGAAAGAATGTTTCAATGGGTTGACAAAACAAAGTAACTTGAGAATACGGGGTGTCAGAAAATGAACTTTCGATGTTTGCGATCGTCTGGGATCGTCAGTCAAGCCTAAAGTTTTCATTCGAAAAATGCATGAAAAACCTGATTTGGACTTTCAGCTTTTCAACGATGCCCAAAATAAAAAATGGCCCAGTAATTCCGAATCTATTACAGTAAAACTTTTTAAAGGTTGTGAGCCATCTAGAGAGATCACTATCGCACTAAGGATTTATTCATTAAAAACTTATTCATAAGCCGGGTTAAACTTCGAATCCGCTAGATGTGGGAGTTCAATTTCTCACAACCTTTGAGAGGTTTTACTGTAACATCTACTATTAACCTGTAACCTCTAGAGTGCATTTTGGAACCACTTGTAGGAAAATCTGTATGATTGAATAGATAGCAAAACGTGACTAAACTGCTCTACAATTGCTGTGTGCGTAAACAATAAGGTGAGGTACATTAGGTTTGTTCAGATACAATATCCGTATTGGGAAGAATTAATTTATAGAAAATTAAAACAAATTCCAAGGTCTACCAATTTAAGCAGCCAGTAATTGACATTTGTACAAACGAATGTAACATAATTAACTAGTGACAAAAAAGAATATTTCTATGTCTGAACTTTTGCATATAATTATGCGTGAATTACGAGCAATCGGATGACTCACTGCTTAGTAATATTTATATTCCACTTTAATGAAAAAACAAAACTTACTTTATTTTCTTATTTTAATGACGTGTGCATACTCTAATGCATTTGAAAGTTGGTATATAAGGATTGAGCTCACTGCAACAGTTTCACTTCACTTCACTTACTCTGTTGATTTTTTAGATTTACTTTTAAGTTATACAATGTATTTCAATTTGAAAAAAGTCATTTTCTTTATGTTCATAGTTGATATCTATTCTGTTAACAGTAAAATTGTTAATGAACAGCTAACTAAAGAATGTCTTATTGTTAAAGAATTCCCGTGTTCATGTTCTGATGATAAAAAAGTTGACATTGATACTCTTATAGATTTTTGCTTTGTAAGGGCTGTAAATACTGATAACAACCTGAACTGTGAAGTTGCTGGCATTATATACGAACGCTGTTCTAAGCTTTATTATATGAAGCCTACGTACTATGAAAATGTGGTCACTGTTGCAAACTATTGCAAATCGAAAACATTTGCCGACGATTTGGATCGTGCAAGAGATCTAAATTCGCGGCTTTGCGAATCCGATTCGGAGAAAGACCGAGGCTAAAGAAAAGAACTGTACAAAAGAAGTTGATTAAATTATTTTGAACTGTTTTCATTTCAAGTGACCGTGAATTAATTTATTGCTTCTCAGTGAATCAGATATTTTATTTTATTCAGATTTTTCTTATCAAAAATAATACGGTTTGATCAATGGAACGAGACTAGCTTGAGCTAGCTAATCTCAACTTTTTTGCGGATTGACTGATTAGTATCGCAAAAAGTCTTATTGATTTGAAAGGCGGGTGATATGGGCGAAACTCTTTTCTAAGCTGTATTAATGTCAGCACAATTTTTTTCTATGTAAATACAGTTTGATTCCGCATATTTTGTTTTTTTGGAGTGCTGACATCCAGCTTTAAACAATTACAGGGTGTAGCGAAAGTTCGTGTAGGTGGGAGGGCTTAAGAGATGAAATCAGTTTCTCAATCGAGAAATCAAAAAAAATTAAAATTGGTTTCTACGCAGGGGGAAATATTTTTTGCCTCCTACACGAACTTTCGCTACACCCTGTAGTCCGGTCTAATGACTCCCCCTAAAGGGAAAAGGGTAGAAAGGCTAAAGGGGAATCACACTTCATGAACAATTCCAATTGATTTCAAATGTTGTTCAACATCTCCAGATAAAAAGTTTCGACCTCTGTCAGTTTGAATAATGGATGGGAATCCAAACAAACTAAAATACTCGTCGAGAAATTTTATCACATTATCAGAGTTTTGATTTGCAATAACTTTGCATAACCGATCTGGTTAGCGTATCAATTATACCAAATAACTTTCTTAGGACCATTTTAAAGGTGATAGACCTTGGAGCG